CTCTAGAAAGAGTCAAGTAGCAGGACAAAAATTACACTTTCTTTACATACATACAGATTTTTCCAGATGGGAGAGAAAAGGGATCATGGGCACTGATACACAATAAACACAAATGTAACGGGGGCACATGATGTAATGAGCACTGGGTGTTGTATGCAACTGATGAATCACACTAAATTCTACCCCTGAAACTAGTAATACACTCCATGTTAACTAACTTCAATTTAAATAAAGTCTTTAAAAAATTAAATCAAATTAAATTAAATTAAAAACTGTTTGAGTGCCTTCAAAGTAAGGAATGTATAAAAATGAGGGGTGCCTGGGTGGCTCAGTCGCTGGGCGTCTGCCTTCGGCTCAGGTCATGATCCCGGGGTCCTGGGATCCAGCCCCGGATCAGGCTCCCTGCTGCACGGGGAGCCTGATTCTCCCTCTCCCACTCCCCCTGCTTGTGTTCCCTCTCTCACTGTCTCGCTGTCAAATAAATAAATAAAATCTTTAAAAAAAAAAAAAAGAGGAATGTATAAAAATGAGAAAGGAAGTCTCTGCCCTTCAGTTGCTCAAAGACTAATAGGAACAAAGGGAGGTGATCTATCAACATGTAACTTACTGCATCATCGTACACCAGTACATGGAAAATTGGTTTCTCTGGGAGAGCTGGGAAGGGAGGTGGGATTTGGGCAGTAAGTTGGGGACAGGGAATTCCAGACAAAGGGATAAGACTGTATAAAGTATGAAACAGTTTTGTTGTATCCCAGGGGACTGGAACATGCAGAGTAAATTGTAAATCTTGGGGGGTGAGGAGCTAGGCAGATAGGAGGAAAGGCACCAGAGAAAATAAGAGGAAAGTATGCTGGGGTAACAAGGTAGGGGGATTTGAATATTAAGGTAAAGTCCTTGGAATTTATTAATAGGCAACGGGAACCCACTGAAGATTTTCTGAGCAAAAGAAAGGCATAGAAGGCACAGAAGAATGTGTAAGGTAGATTATAACTGGCAGAGACTGGAAGCAGAAAATCGACACAATTCATAATAAACTGACAACAATGGATTTAACATTGCCTAACCATATGGATCTTTCTCAGTGTTCACTTGTGAAGCGGTGCAGCAGAGCTGAAGAGATCATTTGTGCAACTCTGTTTGAACTTTCGGTTCTTCATGAGCAAAATGCAGATACTACTACCTCTACCAGGCAGTGCTGAGGTAAGAATTAAATAATCTATCAGAAAGCCCCTACTGCAAGGCTTGGCGCCAAGCAGGTAATACTCAATAAAATGTTCGTTTCCCTCCTTAAGTAATGACTAAATCCATGATGAAACAGAACACTATTGGAGAATATTGAAAATACTAGTAAAACCGAACTAAAATATCAAAACATTCAGGCTGCTGCCAAAGCAAGACTCAGAGAAAATATATCCACTCCAAAAGGAGAACTAAAAGCAAAAAAGAAAAGAAAGAAAAAAAGAGGCAAACGGAAAACTAGTGAACTAAGTTTCTATCTAAGAAATTTAGGGGGAAAAATACCAAAGGAGCTGAAATATGGAAATAATAAAACTAAAAGCAGAAATACAGATACAAAAGTGGAACTAATCAGTAACAACAACAGCTGGTTCTTTGAAAAAATGAACAACTACAAAGTTGATCAAATAAATTAATATACTCAGAAATTTTAGAAGATGTAATTTATACACACATTTGTAATTGGGGGAGAAGGAACAGTATGTCAACTATACCAACACATTTGAGAGCCAAGTAAAAAAGATGACTGCATATCAAGGAGGGAATTCCAAACCTGATTGGCAAGCAGAGAATATGATGCAGCAATAACACAGTGACAAGAAAATTTATTTTTAAAAAAGTCACAAAGCCTAAACTACTTTGACTCACTTTTCAAGAAACATTTAGACCAGAGTCCAAGTATAAAAATAGACTTTGCTTAATTCTCCACAAACCAGCAAATAGAGGTTCCGCTGGATATTGTGGCATCAAACACCACTTCCTCGATTTCACTTTCCAATTACACTTTTAAAATGGATGTATTCCACTCTATCAACCTGCAGTGTTAGTACACAATCACTAAACAGTTTCACAGGGGTCAAACTACAAAGCTAGTGTCCTCTCTGAAATGTATATGGAGCTCTCTTGCTAGAGGCTCAAATTCCCTCTCTCCACTTTGCCCGGAAGGGAAAGGAACGGAGGGAGGGAGAGAACATACCTAGGAAAAAGAGGACTCTGGTGTAAAAGTTCTAGTATCTGTTTTCTGCAAATCAAAAGAATGCAACTTGGGGCGCCTGGGTGGCTCAGTCGGTTAAGCAGCTGCCTTCGGCTCAGGTCATGATCCCAGGGTGCTGGGATGGAGTCCCCATTTGAGCTCCTTGCTCAGCGAGGAGTCTGCTTCTCTCTCTCTCTCTCTCCCCCTCTGCTCCTCCTCTCTGCTCATTCTCTCTCTCTAATAAATAAAATCTTTAAAAACAAACCCCAAAAAACAAAAACCCAAAAGAATGCAACTGGACTCAGTTTCGATCAGTCTTTCCCAGCTAAATGCAGCACGCACACACGCGCGCACACGCGCGGCGCGCAAACACGCTCTGGCTGACACAGCCCTGCGGGTGCTTCTCTGTCTACAACTTCAGAGAATGGCTCCAACTGACAAACTGACACTCTCCCAAACTGTTAAAGGGGCTGTATCTCTTACATTGAGCAGAACCTTACTGACAAAATTTAAGTTCTTCTAGTGGCAATTTTAACTGGTTTTATTTAGATGAAAAATGTTTAAGAGCATCTAACCAGAAGAGATAAGAAAGCACAAAAGCCTAATAGAAACAAATCACTCTTAAGGAGGACTAGACTGAGGCCAGGCTGGAAGTTTATCAGCTACGCAATTGTGAGGGGAGGGGGTATCATTCTCTCCCTAAGCCTATCTCCTCTTGGGTTTGTTCACATATTAATTCACTAAGACTGGGGGATGTGGAAGCCCTGTGTAAATGATCAATTTTACCTATTTTTTGCTGCTACTAGTATTCTACAAAAGTTGTAACAATCTCACTTAGCAATCGTTTTTCTCGCTACTAGGCCATAGTTCACAAAGTATGAATCATTAGATATAAAGAGCCTATCTCAAGTTCTTTTCAAGGCTTTCATCTTGAATTCTAGTACAGGTACAACCTATGATCAGGCAAGGCAATTAGAAACCCCAAGCTCAATACTGGGAAGCTCAACTCCTAGAGTCATAGGAAACCATCTAAAACTCCTCCCACCCACTCTCTCCCCTACAACAGAGTCTCCAATGGTACATGTCTATTTGTTCTCAACATCTGCTCATTCAGCACATTTATTGAATGCCTCAATATCCTGGACTCCAAAGAGCTCACAGACAAGAAAAATATGTGTGTAATTATCAAGTAATGGGAATGATATTTTTAAAACCAGAAATTATGCATTCAAATGGGACTTGAGTCCCCCTGAGAGGCAATGAGCTAATTCCACTTCAGTGCTCAAACCACCTTTGGAGCTTTCCTCCTGGCATCGTCTTGAGAGCCTACAGTCTGTCCTTCTGAATATCCTCAATGGTGCCAACTCTTCACTGAGAGTGAATTCGATTTTTGGAAATGGCCAAAAGTCAGTCAGAGCCAAGTTTAGTGAGTACGATGTATGATCAAACTAGGTGGCACTATTTTGGTTCAAAAATGATCCATGATTATAAAGCAATGAGATGGATTTCCTTATATGATTTATAATCTGACTCCAAAGGAAATTTCAGATGAGTAACAAGGAATATGAGCAGTGGAATAGGTATATGCATATTCCTCTTTTTCCTAAGTAACTTCTTTGAGGGATAACACTCATTTGGATGTGTAAGCTCAGATATAAGGTTTGCTTTGCGTAATCACAACTCATAAATAGAAGGCTCCTTGGGCTATTGGACCCATTGTGGCATGGGCGGGCCTGTCACTAAATTAGAGAGGTAGCATGGCACGCAGGAACGAGCGCCGGCTTCAGAAGCAGACCGACTGACTCACTTTAGAATCCTGACCTGGCCCTTTGCTGCCTGCGCAACTCAAGGGAAGTCACAAGCTCGCTAAGACTGCGGAACAGGGCTGATCATCTAACTTGCAGGGTTGTTGGAAAGATCTGATAAACGCTGAAAGCACTGACACTGTGCCCAACCCATGCTAGGTGCCCCATAAGTCATACCTATTCTTAATAACAACCTCAATATAATTGAGAGGTTTTTCTTACTCTGGGGGGCTTAAGATGACAGAACAACAGATAAACAGACATTTGGGTGGTGGGTGAGTAGTTCACGAACACTATCAACATATGCTCACTACTAATGGATCTGGAGTGGCTTTAAAAAACCCCAGTAATATGTAAATGCTATCTGCAGTAATCATTCACGCTACAGGTACTATTTTTAAATCACATGACATGTGCCACCTGCGGCGCTGCCACCACACTGACCTTTCACCACTGTCTGAGCATACCAGGCCCTCTCACGAACCCTGTGCCTCTGCATCCTCTGTCCCTCCTAACTTGCCTTTCCTGCCCTCTGGTCTGAAAAAACCCTACAATTATATCCCTCAAGATGGAGCTGTGGAACCTTCCCTGACTGCTCTGACAGAATTGGTGGCTCTGCCCTGGTGTGCTCCCACAGCACTTGGTTCCTGTCTCTGCAATGTCTCTTCCTGTGCTGAATTCTAATTTCTCTTCCCATTTCTGCTTCTCCTGCCAGGCTGGAGCCCGGAGAGGGATTATATCTCACTTATTTTTGTACTTAAAGCACCTAGCACATCTCTTGGCACACAGTAGGAACTCGGGAGATGTCTGATGAATGAATGCTTTAAATATAAATATTTTACAAATGACTGGTAAAGGCCAGGCAGCTGTCTTTTGTTAAGGATTACCAGAAATCACATCCGTGTTTCCTAAATTCAAAGAAGAGACAACTTACATAGAATGGTTTTAGAAGTTGCAGCATATGGAACTTTCTAAACACTACTGACCTCCTTAGTACTCCATGCTCACAGGACAGAACATGCAGAGCAGCAGCCCTCAGCCTTCGTCCCAGTCCAGCGCACCTGTGGGATGCACCTCACTGTCAGGAGCTCACTGCAGATGACTCAGCCTAGCAGAGTTCTCACAGCCTTCCAGCACTGCCTGGCCACCAGGGCTGAAGGGCCTTCTCCAAGCCAGCAACTCCAGCAAGCTAGCAGAAAATCCCAAGGCTCCATGGTGTGGCCAGGGTGCTGGCTTAATGCCACCTACTCCCAAATCCCCACCTCCTACAAGCACCTCAGAATCGGTCCGCCAATTCTGGATACTGCTGGTAGTTGCCTGTTCAATGAGTAAGGCTCCCTCGCTGTTATGTTAGGAAGCCTCAGGCATTCAGACAAGGACTCGGTGGGTCCAACATGCCTGTTTCAGCGAGTCTTAACCTGTGTAACTAAAAAGAAGCTCACGATCAACCAGTTCTCTGCCAGAGGGAAATAGGCAGAGGGTCAGCCAGCAGCCCTGTGCACCTGAGCGCTGACGTTTGTGAATCATTCTCTGCTACTGCAGTTTTCCAGAGCCTGGGCAATACAACAGTGGGTTCAGACTCACCAAGATCAAAAGGTTGGAAAGGAGAGCTGGAGCCATGGCCCATGCCTTGGGAACCATAAAACCATGATAGTGACTATTTTTGTGACACACATAATCCACAAAGTAAAGGCAGCCACATTCTGCCTTAATGTCATGGTCTTTCCTGTCTCTCTAATGGAATGGCTGGATTCTGAAGGAGGGAAGATGAGAAGAAAGAGGACCAGGCCATAGACCACCACCAGGAAAGCAGTGATTGGAAGAAGCCATTTTAGATTTCTCCTAGAGGCTCTGGAGAGTCATTCATTCATTCATCCATCCATTCATTCCACAGATATTTAATAAGTTAGGTACTATTGCAGGCATACAGGATACCATAATGGGCAGAATCATGGCCCTGGCCCCATGGAGCTTATAGTTTAGTAGGGGAGACAGGCATTAATCAAATAAGCATACAAATATAAGGGCACAAATAAGTGCTATGATGGAAGAATTCAGCATGCTACAGATACTGTATAAACAGGTATCAGTGGACTTAGGCAAGTCAGAAAGGCTTCTCTCAGCAAGGAACAAGTGACCTGAGATCTCAAAGATAAATAAGAGTTAACTAGGTCAGGAGAAGAGGAAAGGGAAACATTCCTGACAACGAGAACAGCATGTGCCAAGGTCCTGGGGTAGGAGGGAGATGTTGAACTGGCTCCAAATTAGAGGCAGGGATAAAGGCAGCAGCACCAAGGTTAGAGGCCCTGGCACAAGGTATCTTCCTGTCTACACCCCCTGGTTTGCACTCCAGCTGTCTAGAAGGCCCTCCTCAGCATGGAACAAGACTAAAGAACAATGTCAAAAACTAGGTGTGCCCATGAGACATGACACATCATTAGCTAAAAAATCAGACTTGCCAATATTACCTGACCACTGTCTTAGCAGTCACCACTGTGAGGCAACACTGCTCACTCCCACTGAAGCAACACTGTATCAGGAAACTGGCGCCCTATAAAAAGTCTTTAAACTTAGAGATGCATTTCAATCCCAGTAGAATTAAAGTGTTGATAAATATATTGATGGTTACTGTAAATCTGTTTAGATACCTAATATTTCATTGTAATTTTCATATACTAAATTCTGGGGGGTGGGGGAGAAGCTACAGGAAAAGAAAATGGTTAAGGATGTTCTGTGCAGCACTATTGTGCTTTGGCAACTGTTAGCCAGTTAGAACACCTGAGGCAGTTCTTGGGTTCTGAATTATCTGTCACCTTGCAAAATAGTCCTGGAACTATCTATGTGTAAAGCACTTTGCAATCAATCATTAATTTGGCTTCCCATCCTGCTGAGATTATACTCATTCTACAGATAAAACAGGTAAGCGACTGGCTCAAGGATACAAAACAATTCAGGTTTTACTTATCTTTCTTACCACCCTCGCCAGTGTAGACACACAAGGCCCTTCCAACTCCAGCGCCAATCCTGCTACCCTGTAGAGCAATCCTCACCCCTAGGAGCAGCAGAGGAAGGTGCTGCAGTCCCTTCTCCCTTACCTCCTCTCAACATGCTCCTCGATGCAGAATGCCTTCAAGGCCAACAACGATAATGACTGCACTGTGATTGGGACATTAGCACTCCAGGCTAGAATATGAACTCAGCAGTGCTCAAAGAGGAGTAGAGCACCTAGGAAGCCACAATGACTTGTAGCTTAAAATGGCACTGTCCCCAGGGAGACTGCACTCCCAATACTCTCTCTCTCTCCATCTCTCCCAAGACTTCCCTTCATCCCCCACAAGCAGCCCAGGCAGTGGTCTCCACTGGGCTCCCACACTACAACACCACACAGTGCTGTAAATCATCTATTTACTTGTCTCCGTCCACAAGCTGGAACCTCCCAGCATCTGAAGCACCTCGCATAGGACCTAGCATACAAAAGGTTGACTGAGGGCACAGCTTCCCACCAGCAACTACGGGAAACAGGTACTCCCTTCACAAACTAGTGGACTTAGAAGATCAGTTAGGCCAACTCCTTATTTTTCAGATGAGCAGAGAGTATGTAACTCAGTCACATGGGGCCTGGTCCCCAATCCAGATCTTTTGGCTCAGTTTAGTTCCACAAACATTTTATAAGGGCCTGCTCTGTTTCAAATGCCGTGGGAGGTGCTGGGGATAGTGAGATGTGCATGAGACAGTCTCTGCTTCAAGGAGCACACAGCCTGGGGGAGGGAACAGAGTTACAGAACACTTGGGCAAGTGCAAGGACAGGCGCTCCATTCCTTAATCAGTGTTCTCTCCACACTGTCCACTGGATATTCCCCAGCTGGGAAATAGGACAATACTATCTACTTCCTGCAAATAAACTTACAGTGAAGACTGATGAGAAACCGCGTATGGAAAATCGTCAGGTTCACCCCCAGAGGCATTATGTAAGGTATTGCCATACCCTGACACTGACTCCGAGGATTCAACGTCGTGTCAGGTATCACTCGACAAAGCAGCGAACAAGCGAGGGGTGGGCATACATCCAAGGAAAACCTCAAGGGCTCAGAGGAACTGGAGGAAACAGCTGGGGTGGGGGGGAGTAGGGGTGTTGGTCAAGCGAGACGGCCCCGGTGCGGGGAACGGAGGGCAGGCAGCGGGGTGCGGGAAGAGGGGACGGGAAGGGGGCGTTGGGCCAGCAGCGAGGGTGGGCTGGCCGAGAGGAACGCGGTTCCCGCGGGGCCGAGGTCGGGGAGGGGGGGGCGCTGAAGGCACCCGGCGCGGGAGCGGGAAGCACTGCC